GATAATGAACATGTAGTATATATACACTATGGAATACTATTCAGTTGTCAAAAGGAATGAAATAATATGTTTTGTAGCAACTTAGATGAAATTGGAGAACACCAATGTAAATGAGCTAACTAAGGAACAGAAAGCCAAACATCACATTCTCACTTATAAGTGGGAGCTAAACTGGAGTAGACAGATAAAAAAAAATCACTTACCAGGTATGATGTGTACAGGTGGGAGTGGTGGGTACACTTAAAGCTCAGACTTCTTTACTACTATTATACAATGCAACCATGCAACCAAAAACTATTTGTACCCCTAAAGCTGTTGAATTAAAAAATAAGAAAAAGTAGGGGAAAAAAGATGCATCTCCCATGATCAGGATATACAGTGCTGATTAGTCTAGAGAGGGTGTGTGCACACGCAGACACACACACACACACAGCAAAAAGGATTGCCACTGAAAGAGAAGGCTCAGGTTAGAGGGATAAGGATCTGTAATACCACAGAACCATGCTAAACAATTGGTAGTAAGGAGTTGGCTAGCACAGAAAGGCTTCCATGGAAATTGACCATTAGACTTATTTAAAGGCTGTACTTGAACTAGTAAAACATAGACAAACTATGAATAAGTTGGTGAGGGCTACAAAAAAGAGGACATGCAAAAATACACAGCATAAAGCAAAACAATGGGGGGCATAGAAGAGAGTCCCCAGGTTGCAAAACCAAACACAGTTTGAATTTGACCTATTTTCTGGATCAATTTGATAAATGGTGTTACTTACTTGTTCTCTATAGAGGGTAATGTGGAGATTGATATGAGAAGCGCCTCTATATCTTTTAGAATTTATTGCACCTATAATGTGAACATGCTATGTATGTAATACATATATATTATATATATGATAAATATATGTACATATGTACACATACATCTATGTATAATGTGATAATATCTAATAATAATATCTATGTAGAATAACAGATACTTTGTTTCTTTCATAAAATTCCAAGTTTAAAATCCTGTTTATGTATCATGTCTGTTTTTTTCTATCTGTCCTATCAATCATCGATAAACTGTATCTATCCATCAAAGTGTCTTTAAACCAAATAAACCCTATTTATCAAGACAATGAACACTCTGATACCCAAAGAAGACAAAATCAATTGTGTATTATTTCTCACTCAGCTCTGGTGTATTCTAAAATTCTGAGTGATTATGCTATACCATACACTATTACAAGGATAAAGTTATGATAAAGAATTGTATACATGGAATGTGGCTTGGAGTGTACATGTAAATAATGCCAGATTTTGAAGGAAACTATTTTCCACCCCATGCTCTCTCACAGATTTTCATGCATTGCCCACTCAATGTTGACTCCACACAGGATCTACTTGACATATATTTCAGCATAGAAAGGTAGAAAATATCTGAGTTTTGGAGTCCAACAGATGGGGAGTCAATCTCTTTTCTACCTTTATGGGAAAACAATTCATCCTCTTGAATATCAGTTTTCTCTTTGTAATAGATGTCGACAGTACTAGGCTTCTTGATGTTCAAATGCAATCATCTGTGCACAGAGAAGACATGTAGTAAGAACTTGATGCATTTTAGTATAATTTAGCCAATGACTGAACTACAACCAATTCATTCTGAATTCAAAGCAACCATGAATGCAGTTAAAATTGCTTAATGAAGCGTATCTTAGTTTTTTTTTCAATATGAAAAATACAGATAGGAGGTTTTCTTTGACTATTTTTTTCTGGAATTCCATGTTTTGCAGCTATTGAATGAAAATTAGGTCGATTAAAAAGTTTGAGATTTGCTTATTGTTCATATTGAGTTCTTTTAATGTCGAATATTTACGGATGTCTATACCTCTGAATATTTATTTCTCAAGTTTTATTACTTCTTTAAGAAAGAGTACACTACCTCTTCCACTCAAACAATTGATTTCTAACCTGTCATTCCAACTGCTTCAGTTTATCTAGGTTTGTTTTCTGAGGCACTATCCTTTATATAGTTTCCACTTGGGTATCTGTCTCCCTGAGTGTATGGTTTTAATTTGGTTTGGTAGCAAATCCTTGGCAGCCATAATCTTTTTTAAAAAATGTATCCCTCAGATTTCCTAGCACAGTAGTGGGCAGATAGCAAATGTTCGGCACAGATTTGCTGGTTGGACTTCCTTTCTTTTTTTTTTTTTTTTTTTTGGTTGGCGTCTCACTCTGTCGCCCTGGCTGGAGTGCAGAGGCACATTCATGGCCACCCCAGCATTGACCTGATGGGCTCAGGCGATCCTTTCTGCCTCAGCCTTCCAAGTAGCCAGAACTACAGGCACGCGCTATTACACCTAGTTAATTTGCTAATTTTTGATTTATTGTAAAGATGAGGTCTCGCCAAGTTGCCATACTGGTCTCGAACCTGTGGGCTCAGGCAATCCTCTTGCCTCAGTCTCCCAAAATGCTGGGATTACAGGCTTGAGCCACCTCTCCCGGCCTGGACTTTAGTTTTAAAGAGCCTCATTTCCAAGTATTTGAGTCTGTTACAGGTCATAAGCACAGAAGTTTGAGTTTGGTGCTCATTAACTAAAAGTGTTTCAGTTGTGACTCCTTGCTCTGGAATTTCAAGTTTTCCCTACTGTTGCCTGTCTTAACTTGAAGTTTCTTCATTTCTGAATCCTGTTGCATGAAAAGAGGCCCTGGAATGTAGTCTTTTTGAGATAACCACATCATCTTTCTTAAGATACTTTCATAAGGTAAAAATAATGAATCAGGACATACTGGAGATGAACTTGGTTAATGGTAGAAGGAGGAACTGGATTTTATTTGAAACAGTTTCTCTTGTGAATAAATGTTTAAAAGTCAGTAAACTGGGGTAGTTCAATCAAAAATTTAGAGACGAGACAGGAAAAGAAGCAGATAAAAAAAGCAAAAAGGAAATAGTTTAACTTTTCAGTGGTCAGTTTTAAATTCTGGGCTTGTGTATATGAATTTCAGACATGATGCAAGTACAAGAGTTATAGGATCAAGGTGTGAATCTTTTTTTTTTTTTTGGAGTCAGTTTATTATTTTTTCCAACTTCCTAGCATCTAGTACAGAGCCACAAACACAGTTGTATTGGAAAATTATTTTTGTGTGACTGTTTTCTTGAGATACAGTGTATTGATCAATGTAAATTAGGGCCAAAGTAAAAATTTTGACAATTCAGTGATAAATATTGCTACAAATTGTCTGATACAAAGATTCAATGGTTGGGTTACAAAACCATCTTCGGGGTTTCCACCCCACCATTATCCTGCCAGTAATGGTCTGAGACACTGCTAAACTCTCTTATCCTAAGTTTCCTCTTTCATAAATAAGGATGTTAGATCACTGGACTCTTTTCTAATTTTAAAAATCTTTGACTCATATTAAAAATATTTTGCCTAAAATACTTTCATTTTACCTCCTTTTACATAAGTGAACTGTGTGAACCCTGTGTTAAATATAAAGACTGCTCATTCTTTTCTAGGATTTCTTGATGGAATTAATCTTCTCTACATCTCTAAAGAGGGCAGAGAGCAGTAATCTAACATTTATGGAACACCTAACTTTTCACGTTTTTGAGTATTTCATTCTCACAAAAGCATTGTAAAGTGGAAGTTTTCTCCATTTTATAATTAAGAAAATTGAGGCTCAGAGATGTCAAGTTACAAGTTGGAGTCAGAGAGCAGGTAAGTACTGAAAAGTACTGTCTGATTTAAAAGCCCATGTTATTTCTAGTATATGGTGTTGGCATTCTGTAAGAAAGAGGTAAGCATTCCATTTTAACAGATGGAGAGACCGAGGTACAGAGAACTAGGGGACTTACTCAATTCTGTAGTTAGCAGTATTTTTGGTGCTGAGAAGAAAACCCAAGTTTTGTTTTGTGGAATAGAGTATAACCTAAAGCTGGGGACAAGGTACAGGAAAGCATACTTTTATATGATAACTTTATTTCTATTTTATGCCAGCATTGAATTTTCAGAGTTTTAAGATGATGCATGTAAGAAAATTGAGCTTGTTGTATTTATAAAATTTTATTAAATTCTTGTAATGCACTTGGTGTTTTCTAGAGAATATTCCATGATGAACACCTTTTATATTCTAGAAATTGATGAAATTTTTTGTGTGACTATAGATTTTATTTGATTCGATTTTTCCTGCAAAAAATATGAGGTACAATTGACAAACAAACATTGTATATATTTAAGGTATACAATACGATAACTTGGTTGAAACTAGTTTTTCCAAACTAAGTATCCTAGCCTCTCCAACTTCCTAATACTCTCCCTCACATATACATTATAGCTAGAGTACAGAAAAGCTTAATCTTAAACTGTATTTCTCCTAATAAAAAGTAATTTTCTGACCAGGCATGGTAGCTCATGCCTGTAATTTCAACATTTTAGTAGGCCAAGGCAGGAGGATTGCTTGAGGCCAGGAGTTTGAGACCAGCCTAGGCAACATAGCTTGATCATGTCTCTACAAAAAAATTAAAAATTAGCCAGACATGGAGGTGCACAACTGTAGCCCTAGCTACTAAGGAAGATGAGGTGGGAGCATCCCCTAAGCACAGGAATTGCAGGCTGCAATGAGCTGTGATCTCACCACTGAACTTCAGCCTGGGTGACACAGTGAGACCTTGTTTCTTAAAAAATAATTTACAAAAAAGGCAATTTTCTTATTTAAAAATCATTTGGAGTGCTTTTTAAGATAGGCATACAACTCCTCTTCCCAAGGCCCATCATACTCATGCATTGCACTTCCTCTTGCTCAAGGAAAGGTTTTTCCCTCTGAACTTCCCCTCTGTGTGTTTTTTTTTTTTAATCTTCTGTGTTTGTGTTGGCTTTGACCTTCCCTTCATTTCAGTTTGGCCTGGACCCAAATGAGAGTTAGCACTTAGCCTGGAAGTCTCGTTTTCCAACACAGTGTCAAAAGGAAAACTCCGCCTACCACACCCACAGTTAATCACTGTTAATACTACAAAACATGACACTGCACTGTTTACCCATCATTTGTGAATTTCTGCTTTCCACAGCTCTCATTTCTCCAAAAATGTGTTGGAGCCACTGGGAAAATATGCCTTTAAGCCATTCCAGCCCTCAAGAAGCACAGAGATCATCCTGGAAACTCTGGTTCCTCTTCCCAGCAATAGTTACATTACTATTGCTTTGCCTCTTCAGTCTACTAATCTTTACTTTTCTCCCACTCAAGGTAAGGAGGCAACAGTACCTAAGGTTATTACTATAATCCTTTATTTATTTGTTAGTCTAGATATTATTGTTGCCACTCAGTATTGTTAGAGATATTTGGAAGAAAGAGAAGTGTACAAATAATGTAAGTATAATTCTAATCTTGTCATGACATGGTTTTTGAGGTTTATCTAAATGTTTTGAGATGAAAGGTATCAGAAAATGTTAGATGTTAACTGCAGAGCTGAGATAGATGGGGAGAATTGCTTGATTAATTCATTCAACTAACAGATGCCTATGGAGTATTTTCTTCCCGTCCTGGAACTCTGCTGTACTCTCTTGGTGGAATTTTTTTTAAAAAGATATAAAATATGAAGTTTGCCCTCAGAGAACGGGATGTAAGATATAGTCTTATTGAGGGACAAGACACAAAAAGATTTTTTAAAAAAGCAAAAACAGGACAAGGTAAGTGACAGGTGGTTAATGTGTCTTTGAGGAGAGAAAAGACACTGAGCTAGGAGTAAGGAAATCTGGATTGTGGTCTTAGGTCTCTCAATAACCAGCTGTATAAATCTGAAGAGACCATTTAGTGTCTTTGGTTCTTAACTTCATCTGAAAAATAGTAGTAGGAGAATAGATTAATTATATTGTTTCTTCTAGCTATAAAATGCAGGGATAAAGTAATTTATTTAAGAGTAGTATGAAACATAAATGCCTTAGAATTTCAAAAGCAGGGAACAATCACTTTAAGCAGGGGTCATCAAGAAAGGCTTCATGGGGGAAGGAGAAAGCACGTGTCTATTTGGAAGCCCCTGATGGTTGTCAGGAACTTCTCATTGAGCCGTAGTCCAAGTTGTAGGACCAGAGAATGGGATTGTACACTGGGAATGGATATAAGTTCTTTACTACTGTTGACTACACAGAACTGACAAAAAAGAAAATAAGAAATGCTTTATTTAATTCAGAATTTAGCCTATTTCTGGTTACATTGTGAAGACACAGAGCCTTGGGGAGAATAAAGTGATATATGCCCATTGAGAAAGGGTTGAGATTTGACAGTTTTCGAAGGGCACTGACCAGCCAAGATTACAAATATGTTGTTCTATCATTTAAGACATTTGAAAGCAATTAAGAGCCGGGCTCGGTGGCTCAGCCTGTAATCCCGTGCCTTTGGGAGGCTGAGGTGAGTGGATTGCCTGAGCCCGCAGGTTCGAGACCCGCCTGGGCAGCAAGACCTCATCTCTACAATAAATCAAAAAATCAGCCGGGCGTGGTAGCGCGCGCATGTAATTCTGGCTACTCGGAAGGCTGAGGTGGAAGGATCACCGGAGCCCAGTGGGTCGAGGCTGTGGTGGCCAGGAGTGGCCCCTGCATTCCAGCCTGGGCGACAGAGTGAGACTCCAACTCAAAAAAAAAAAAAAAAAGCAATTAAGAAAAGATTCAGGAGGAAGCAGGCCACTGCAGATATTGACTGAGTTAGGGTAGGTATTGCTTTGGTCAAATTTCTCCATAGTAGCCCATTAATTTGCACTCCGTAACTGTGAGCAAGGATATGCAGCAGAGGCATTTCTAACCACAACCCTGCTCTTGCAAGGATTTATCAAGCAAAGTGTGAATGTTCTGGAGCAGTGAAGTTTGAGTAGAAAGAATTGTGAGATATTCCGTGTATAGAGTTCTGAAGAAGAGGAAAATTGAGAATAGCAATAACTTAAGCTTGGAAGTATTTTTCTTCTAAAAATTACAATAAGTTTTATTAGTCAGATGGCCCTACAGACCATTACATATAGGCATCAACAGTTCCTGCATGTGACTGGAAAACGGGTACATAGAAAAGGAGGAAAATGCCCTTCTTAAAGGCATCCAGTGGCTCTTGCAAAGGGAAAGAGGAAGTCTAATAAGGACAGTCATAGAAGATGCCTCTTGCCAGAATCAAACTTGATTAACCCATGTGTTTGAAATCTGATTCTGGATTCTCTCTCCTAGAGAACATGCAGTTTCTCAATGAAAAGGTCTACCTCTAAAGATTGTCCAAAGTTTGTTCCACATTTAGCGAAATACAGGAGGATTTTAGGACACTGTTTTGACAGGATGCTTGAAGGATTAGTTTTGTGGGAAAGCCAGTGACCTGGACAACCATGCCATGATATTAACTCATGCATTCTACTTTCTGTTTCCCTGCACTTCCTTTCCCCTTTTGGCCACAATAAGCATCTTTAGAAAAGAGGTCTGAGGGTGCTGGGGGACAGTGAGTCATTAGCATGACGTGGCCACTTCCACCTTTTCATTATACCCATGAACTAGTGTCTTTCTAGAAAGATTATAAACTTCTTGAGAGGAAAGGGTCATTTTACTTTATTTTGGGCTCCACTCTTGTTGTTACATACAAGCCCCATTTTCCAGATTATCTAAACACTAATTAAAAAGCATAAATGGGAAGCTTGGTTCCTTGTAGTCCAACAGAAATCCCCTTGGGAGAATGTATTTTCTTTTTTTCCTGCTTTTTAAAAGATGTTTAAATGTATAGGCTGTCATCCCAAGGAGTTTGGTCAATCCCTTGGTGAAAATTAGCTCACAGAAGTTGTCTCTCAGAAACCAAATGTTCAGGAGAGTCTCCTGCTTCAGTGAAATGAAGGTTACTTGTACTTAAAGTAGAGTAGATCTTATTTCCAACTGATGGTCTGATTAGAGTTGGTTTGGAGAAAGAATGACTATTTTGGCCATTTGTAGAACAAATACATAAATCCAGGCTTAAATCAAAATGAGGTTACAAGAGCAACTGATCCTTCTAAGCAAAAATAAATTAAGCTGAAAGTTTCATATTCACCTTTATAAGTGGGTATTTAGTACTTCCAAACATCAGCAGAATTATAAATAGATACAAAACTGCCCCCTACAGAGTAGTAGTGGTGAGAGTTTTGAATAAGGTAGGCTGGCTGTGGACTCAGTCTTGCCTCTTAGCAGCTGCATGACCTTGGGCTAGTTACTTAATCCCTCTCATCCACATCTGCAAAATGAGCTTGCTAATTTTATAGAGATGTGGCAAGGATCAGTGAGACAGCAGAGTGCCTGACTTAGAGTAGGTTCCGTAGATGGAAGTGATTAATACTTGCACCATTACTGTTAAAGAGATTGCAGTGGACATAAATTTAATAAGCTCTTTTAACAATAAGGTTACTCAGTCAAAGACTACATCACACAGTCAAACTGATTATTTTGCAATTAGGCGGATTTTTATTTGTGACAATAATTAGAGTATCACAGTTTCTGGGCTCTAAATAACCATTAAACAGCCTGCTGTATGGTATCCAGAATTTCTAGCTCTGTCAATTAGTTTGTCTGTGGCCTTAGGTTTCTCTACACACACCTTATTCACAATTGTAGCTAGTACAGATGCTATCTGGGGCATGTATTTTGGCACTCATTCAGAATTGTTACATGTGTATAATAGTGTCTTTCTAGAAAGATTATAAACTTCTTGAGAGGAAAGGGTCACAAATTAAATTTGTTTATCTCACAATGAAGGGAATACAGGTGCTTAAATTTTTGTTCAATTCTTCATTATAATCAAGATAATCACCAAAAACACCTAATATTATTGAGCACGTCCAGACAGGACATCTGAGCAAAGCCCTCATTTAAATCCAACAGTAACTTCAGTGAGCTAGGTGCCATTATTTCTCCTATTTTATAGAGGAGGAAATTGGGGTTAAGGGAATCTCTGTCACATACCTATCATGGGTTGAACGAAATTGAATTTCAACACCACTTCTAAGAAACACCAAAATGAGGATGAAATCTGTGAAAGAACAAAAACACTTACAGGGAATCCAGCAATTTATTTACTAAATAATGGCTTCCTGATGTTTTGATTGCGCCTCTTTGTCAATAAAACGTTTTCAGTATAATTACCAACATCTGCGTTGGGGTAAACTGAGGCAAGGTGGGCCAAAGTCTTGGGAATAAAGCAAGGAATTGCACAGGCAAAGCAAAAGAGCTTATTCACATTCAAGGGAAAATGGACCAACACTAAGAGGCAGTGAAGTGTGGGGGTTGAGGAAGGAGGGTTTTTAATGTTTTTAACAGGGAGACAGGGCAAAAAGAAGTCTCCAACAGATGCATTCCTAAGTTTTGATAATACCAGTCTTGAGTTTTTGGTGTTGCCAGGGCAATTAGTCTTGTGATGCCAGGTGGTGGGCTGGTGGGCTGTCACAGAAGGATGGTTACAACAGATTAGGTCAGCTTGGTCTTGTATAGCCAGAAAACAAATACCTAGAATAGAGGAGTAATCAATATCAGACATGCTTAGGGAGTTAGAAAGCAATTTTCAAAAGCTACCTCCAGAAAGCGAGTTCTGTCTTTGGCTAATGATTGGAAGGTAAGGAGTGGAACAAACAGCAAAGCATGACAAAGCTTAAGCGATGTTAAAATGGCTCTTCTTTAGCTAAAGTTACTCCATTTTGACTTTACCTTTTCAATCTGTATGTTAATTATTATGCTATAAACAAGTACTAATAATATCATAAAGATACATAAAATAAATATTACCAGGATGAGCCAAATAATATGTTTAATGTAATTTTTTATAATGCAAAACCATTTTGCTTTCACCAAAATATTACATTTTCTATAACACATTAATATTTAATATAAACATCAATAAAATAAGTAAACAATATTTTAGTAGAGTAATTTGATAAATATATTTAAGTTACTTTTAATTTTTAGTTTAACACTTTGTGATACAGTAATTTGAATTTTATATTCTAAGTTAATTTACCTTGATTCATGATTTTGACTATCACAAGGAAATATGGATTAAAATGAAAGAATGCATTTTGGCATGTTCTTAACATGCCATGACACTCAATTTTCAATCCATCATTGTGATTTTTAAAATTGTCCCTCACTCCATTCATGCCTGTCATTTCCTTAAACAATTAAAGTCCATGATCTATAATTACAACACTTCTTTCATATTAGCCCATTCCACTTGCTTCTCTCTCTTAGTTGCACTGTAGTGCCAAGCCCCAACTATAGAAATCCTCCAGCACTAATTCAATCCAATTGTTCTGTGTCTTTCACAGTTGAATGTAGCTGAAGAAAAACATAAGACTTGTTAGAAGGTCTTACCTTAAATTCATGACCGGTATCTTCAAATGTTACTCTGGAAACAACCTGCATTTCCCCAGTCTATTTAGTCTCCTCTACTGGACTGCCTCACAAGTGTGGCTTCACTTCAACATCTGATAACTCTTAACCATTCTCACTTTCAGCTGGTAACTTTCCCTTCAGACCAAGAGTGATAGAAACAGGGAAGAAGGAAGTTCTAAAGCCTTCACATCTAACACTCACCTGCATTTGTATCCATGTATATTGTGTTTCCCTCTTGTCATTATGAATCAATGGTTCCAGACCTATCCAAGGCCTACAAACTAAATCCTATCCCCACTTACCTACTCAAGGACATTGTTCCAGCAATTCTCTCTCCTCGCTCTTAAATATTACTCTTCCTCCATTTTACTAGAACATTCCTGCCAAATGGCAACAGACAAGCATGTTGTCCTTTCTCTCATATGAAAACAAACAAAACCAAAAGCAAAACTATAAAACAACAAACTTCTTTGGCCTCTCATCCTCAGCCAGGCACCATTCATGTTTTTTGTCCTCCTTTACAGCAAATCTCCTCTAATTTCTCTTTTCCCATTTACTTTTAAATCTATTCTCACTAAGCTTCTTCCCTCATCACATCACAGAAATTACTTTTGTCAAAATTTCAATGACTACCATGTTTCTAGACCATCAGTAATTCTCTCTTCTTACCTGACCTATCATCAGCATTTGCCCTGGCAGATCACCACTCCTGGAAAGACTCTCTTCTTTTGATTTCTAAACATCACACTCTCTTAGTTTCCTTTCAGACTCACTAGTCTTTCGTTCCTAGTTTCCTTTGCTGGCTTTCATTCTCTGACCCCTAAACATTGCTATGTCCCAGTACTCCTCTCTATCTATACTCGCTGACTTGATGTTCTCATTCAGACTCATTTCTTAGAGCATGGCCCGTGAATTGGAGATTCCTAAATTTAGATCACTAGAACTCCTTAAATTCCAGCCTCATAAGTCCAACTACCTACTTGACATCCTTACCTGAATTTCTAATCGCATCACAAACTTAACATGTTTGAAACCAAAGTAATGACTGCCCCCCACCATTAACTCCTCTTAAATCTTGTCTATTTGATGAATAGCAATTTTATCTTTCTAATTACTCAGGTCCAAACTATTGGAGTCATCTTTGTCTCTTCTCATTCCCAACCCCATACCCATGTCAGGAACTCCCATTGGCTCTATTTTCCAATTACATAGCACCATTGCCTCTGCTCCTACCCTGGTAAGAGGCACCATGCTCTTTTCACTAGATGAATGACTATAATGACCTCTTAGCTGGCCTCACTACATTCACCCCTGCCTTTATTTAATTTAATTTATTCCTAGCATAGCATCCAGAGAAATTCTATAAAAGAAAAATGTGCAACATCTTTAAGTTCAAAAGTCTCTTAAGCACTTTGCCACAAGGAAATCAATAAACTTTGGATGGTAAAAAAAGTTTTTGTGGTTATACCTTCTTTTACTACAAAATATTTTAAAGCACTTAGCATTTAAATACTTGTATTTGCAGAATTAACCTCCCAGATGGCATTTTAAATATGTAAACTGCAGTATGTTACGATAGTTTGAAACTGTTAGAAGGTTTCTCAGAGTACACCAGATACTGTATATGACGTGTGCTTATCTAAATAACACATAAGGGTGATTTTATCAGTCTGAGTTGTAAATGTTTCTTATTTTAAATAAAGGTAAACATAAATAGAAGAGTTCCGTTATTTTCTTCCCACATGCCAATAGATCACCTAGTGCAGTCACTGGGGTGTGGAGGCGTGGAGAAAACTTGTATAACCCCAAAAGGGGAATGTGCAAGATCAAATATTGTCCTGTGTGTACAGGCTAGGGATGAAATGAGACCTCAACTTTTGCCTAAAAGACCTAAAAGGGCATCCACGTAATGAGAGGTAAATGACAGAGCCAGGCATCTTGGAAAAGAGGCTGAGAGAGCTAAGTCATGGTGAAGGTGGGCAGGAGGGATTTCTGTAATGACTATGGAAAAGTAGTTTGATTCTGCAATCTGAAGCTTTAAACAAGTCATCAAAAAAGTAGTGACACTGTCATCATCCTGAGCAATTCCTCTTTTCTTTTCCCAGCAGACTGCTAATGAGCCCTGTGTAGCTAAGTTTGGTGAGTAACCTGTCTTGCATGCTTCTCTTTTACTTTTCTTAGATTTTAATGCAAGAAGGCAGGACGCAATGGCCTCAAAAAACAGCTTGTATTCTCTTGTATTTATTTCTCAATTATTATTTATAGTTGCTTATCATGTGCTGGTCAGTTGCCTGGGAGCTAAGGCTTTCAGAGGCAAGACAGACAGACAAGTCCATGTCTGGGTGCAGCTCATACTGAAGCCACCACTCTGGCAGGATTGCACATCACTCCACAGGCCTGTGCATCTCAGATCTGGGAATCCACCTTAACTCTGTGTTTTAACAAGCCCAACAACTTCCAGATTTACAACTTTTCCTCAACATTAGGAATGGATTTCCAACATTCCTAATGGCCAACAGAGTACATGAGAGGGTGCCATGGTTGTTTCCAAATGTATACAGGAGAAATGAGAGCTGGGAGAATGCCACTTTCTCTGCTCCCTTCTATTATTTGCTGAGTCACTTTCCCTGATAGTCATTTGACACTTGAGTACATACAAAACTTCAAATCAATACATTTTTGGTTATTTATAGATTTCAAATCAAACACACAGTTTCAATCAAGAGCAGAGTTGACTGCAACCCTTGTGTTCCTATACAACTCAAACCACCAAGCTTCTTTGGCTTGTGGGAATTAGATTTTTGTTGTTGTTGTTGTTGTTGTTGCTTGTCTCTGTCTTTGTGTTTTGTTTTTGTTTCTCTAGTAAATGGAATAAAACTCATGGTATGTCTGAATTTCTACCTTGGTTGGCAAAAGGCGAGCTACCTCAAGTGATGCTAAGGTAGTCTTTAAGAGACCCTTTTAACAGAATGAAATAGAACTAATGGCATTTCTTCCAGGGGACTTGCCTTTTGTTTATTACATGTCAAGGGGGAAGAAATTTACTGGACTCTGAGCCACTAGAGACACAAGGACTTTATCTTTACTCTAGTGGTCTTTTTAAAAATTCTCCTTCATTATCTACCTTCACAGTCTTATATCTGTTGTTTACGTATGAATGAGAATTGAAGTCGAAATGTTACCTCTTCCAGGATGTTTTCTTATCAAGGTTTCTTTTTATAATTATGGGACAAGATTGCTTCCTACAACAAAAATGATAAAGAATTACAGAACAGATAAGTATTCTGGGTGGGAAAATACCACCTTTTGGACCCTGAAATCACACTGTTGTGCAAAATCAATTGAAGTTAGGTAAATATTTGAATTTAATATGTACATGTGAAAATGAATGATTAGGTCTTGACCCTTTGTTCACCCTTTGTCTTTTTTTGGACTATATTAAACTAGGGATTCAATATATTTAAGCAGTCAGGTTATTTTTACTTATAAATTCATGAATTCACCAGTAGTTGTTTTGGGGGGACTTTGGATAATGGTTTCTCAAGCGGGTCTTAAATGATAAATACCTACAAACTGATGAGAAAAACCACAATTTAGATACCAAGCACCTAATTCAAGAACATGGAAGTATCACTCAATCAAGAAATGTTTATTGAATACCCACTGGGTACCAGGAACTCTTTTAGGTGCTGAAGATACAGCGGGAAGCAAAATAGAGACCTATTTGTTCTAAAAAATGTTACATCCAAGGAGATATAAGATAGGCAATAAACAAATGAACAATTTAGTTTATAATATGCTAGATGCTGATATCTTCTATGAAGAAAACTAATAGGAGGGCACTTCTTTTTATATAGATTGGTTAGGGAAAGTCTTATGTATGAAGTGACACCAGTACATAGTATTTACATTGTCAAAATCCTGGTATGGGATTCCTCTCTTTTTCTCTCCCTGCTCCCTCTTTCTTTCTTTTTTTCCACAAATATTTATTGTCAAGAAATGCAGAGCTACTTAATTTATTTTTCTATTCCAAATCCATTTCCCTAGAGCGAGAGCACTCCAAGCAATGGATACACTTAGGATTTGCAACTTCTCTAAAAAAAGTAGATAGATGCTTAAAATATTAAAATTTTGCTTGAAAACAACTAGTATAGACCAGGCAAAGAAACAACTTGTAGGTGGTAAAGAATTAATTACTATCTGGAAAAGGGCAAAATAATGAAATAACCATGCTTTCTGTCTGTTTTTCTCCCTTATAAATTTCTATAGGACCATTACCCTCAAAATGGCAAATGGCATCTCCTGAACCTCCTTGTGTGAATAAGATATCTGACTGGAAGCTGAAGATACTTCAGAGTGGCTTGTATTTAATTTTTGGTCAAATGGCTCCCAACGCCACCTACAATGGTGTAGCTCCTTTTGAGGTGCAGTTGCGTAAAAATGAAGACATAATACAAACTCTCACAAACAATCTTAAAATCCAAAATGTAGGAGGGACTTATGAATTGCATGCTGGAGATACAATAGTCTTGATATTCAACTCTGAACATCAGGTTCTAAAAAATAATACATACTGGGGGATCATTTTACTAGCAAATCCTCACTTCATCTCCTAGAGACCTGATTTCTTCTCCTCATACTCTTCAGCACATGCAGAGGTGCTGGTGAGTGAATTGGAAGGGGTAGTAGTAACTAGGGTTTGTCTGGGTACACAAATCCATACAAAGAGAACTTCTCTACATGTAAATTTTCATCTCTCATACTTATCTGAAAGAGACTCAGAAGAACTGCCAAAGACTCTTGGTTACCTCGATGTTGGATCTGCAAAGATGCTTCATTAATCCATGATAAAATGAATACAGATGGCAGAGGACATACACTTTCCAAAGAATCTTTGTCTAATCTTTGGATTCCTGGATGGAAAAATGAAATCCGATTCCCACTGTAACTTTAACTAGTACAAGAAAGGATTCAGGGCAGTTGATTGGCCTTGTGCTGATGTTTTTGGGCGGCTCTAGTTCATTTTTCCCATGCTGCCATCTTCTGAGACCCTCCTAATGAAAAGTAATCAGACTGATAGAGTAGCCACAAATATGCCCACAACCCTCTACTTTAGATGTGGTAATATTAGATGACAGAGAACACTCTGAGAACAATCGGGATAGAGGTACAGGTGGCATGAAATGGAATACACATTATCTGGGAACTTCCCTTGGTTTCATCATATTCAGGATGACCAGTTAGTCAAAGGGGTCATTCTGAACCTTTACCTAAGGCTTCACGAGAACTTATTGTTTGTGTGTGTGAGTCTAAACATAGCCAATTGTAAAGAAACAGTAACCACTGGATTTAACACCCAAAACTGGCACTACCATTACTGTATTGTGATGCAATGATTTCATGTTTTAGTTGACTTTCCACATCTTACAGACTGCTTTCATGGATCACGGAGCAACTGTATGAAGTTAATTGGGCAGACATTTTGGGGAAAATCTTAACAATGAAAATATGGAAGCAGATGGATCATAGGCAACTTGTCTAAACTCATAGAACAAGTGACTCACAGAACCATTGAGCTGCCCACTGTATCACATTGTCTCAGTTTTAGAATTGTTGTTTTTGCTCTCATAAGTCTGTAAAATTTAGAAAATTCACTTTTCAGAAAGTATATTGCCCTTTAGTGCAAGGTAGGTAGAGTGAAACCGCAACAAATCTTTCCTTTGCCAGTAAACGTCTCTTCCATTCCTGCCTGGAATGCCGCTCAGGGCTTACTCCAACTAAAACCCCCACCTCACTTCAAAAAGCCCATCTCATTCAAATGTGTTATCTTCTAAACTAATGGATAGCATTAAATTCAAAAGTTTTAGACTCTGTTAAATTAGCTGCTTGTAGGTTCTTATTGTGTAATGTACATTTTAAATAACTTTAAAATATTTATGGACATTTGTGAAAAACTACATTATGATAAACAATGTTATCACATTTAAAAGTTTTTGAATTCTTTGTAACAAAATTGTTTAGGAACAGGCTAAACCTGAAGCCAAACTATTTTTTACTAGGTCTTTCTTTTCTTAATTAAAAAAAAATCTGCTGAGTAACTATAGTGCCAAAGACTTGGTGATCGTTTTCCTCTTATATTTGCATATCTTCTCAGGAAATTGTGTCACATATATTTATAGAATCTTGGTGGTACTGTTCTTCATTGTATTATAAGCAGTTGTGTGCTGGAGGGGTCTAGTGCTAGCATAACAACACATTGTCAAATTTTTAGGAATTTTGCATTTTGGTTTTTATTAACCATCCTTGAAATTGGCTATGGTGGCAATATTTATACCATGGGATTGGCAAACACTACAAATTAGGCTTTTCTTTTTGTACAGCTGGCTCACCAGCACACCACAGCTTGTAAAACTTTCCTTTTTGCCCCTGCTTCATTCCTGGAACAATCAAGGCAGGCTAAGGCACAAAATAAAATTGTCAAAAGTCCGACATAGTGGTGATTTCTCAGGGCAAGCAGAGATTGCTGCAACTGAAACCAGAGAGACGGCTATCAACAGATTATCTTTGAATGTTCCTGGTGTTATAAATTAGGTTTTGTTTTCAATGTGTGCTCTGTTTCCCTAATTCTCCACAGGTAGTCTGCATTTTAAAACTAGAATAAAATGTGAGTTGGTAACTGGATTGCAGCTGATTTATCTGTGGTCTATCAGACTAGAGCTAGTGATCTAGGGAACATGAAGGTACATCAGAAAAATCCTTGCCCACATGAAACACTGCTTGCAAGTGTTAGGCAAAGTAAGAGCTAAATACAGTTATCTTATGGTCACAGCTGTCCCCATTTCTGATAGGTTACTGAGTCCATTTCTCTTTCTGACTTCCACCCACCTCCTCTACTCTACCCCTCATCCATGCTCACCATCAAAACCAGAGACAGTCCTTCTCACACTATTGTTTTTGCCTTCCATTTTGTCCCATCAAGCAAGAGTGTGCCATATTACTGTGGATTAAGTCTCTGTTTCTGAAGTGGCAGCTAATTGAAAAGTGCTGCAATCTTGTTCATCTAATGGAACAAACTTTTTAGATGAAATGTATCTGCACATCTTGGAAATGGAATTCTCACTTTTGTGTTGTATTCAAATGAAGTAATTTCATTTGGGGGGCACATTTTTTTGTTGTTTTTGTTGTTGAGTTGGAATCTCACTCTGTCACCCAGACTGGCGTGCAGTGGCACGCTCCCGGCCACCGCAGCCTCGACCTGCTGGGCTCCGGTAGTCCTTCCGCCTTAGCCTTCCAAGTAGCCGGGATTACAGGCGAGCGCTACCACGCTCGGCTAATTTTTGATTTTATTGTAGAGATGAAGTCTCACCAAGTTGCCCAGGCGGGTCTTGAACCCGCGGGCTCAGGCAATCCATTCACCTCAGCCTCCCAAAGTGCTGGGATTACAGGCTGAGCCACCGAGCCCAGCTGGAACATTTTTTATTAGAGAGAAAGAGAAGCAAAAATATGATTGACTGATAGGTCAGTGGTTTGAGGATTTCCTTCAGGTAGAAGTTATACGTGATGCCTTGGCAATGACCTGAAAAGGTCCATATCTATTGTAGGGTTCACTCCACTGATCACGACTCTCCTGTGAGTTTCACATCTATCTGTGCAAACTCGTGCATATGTCCTGCCCCTACAAACTAAGAGAGTATGAGCCTCCCTCAATGCAGCAAGATTTTCCGATCTCCACTACCAAGTAATTGGCTGTTCTTTTCCAGACAGATTCCTTGAGTGGGAGTAGAATGCAACCCACAGTCAGCTTTAGCTTTCTCAGGTGGAGGCAGGCACCGATTCTTTGTGTCTCCTAATTGTAAGAAATATATTTCTTTTTTTTCAGATTCTAAAAATAATCTTTATTTTTTAAAAGTTAATATATGCATCATAGAAAACTGAAAAACACAAAAAGCAAAGAACAAAGGTCATTCACAATTACAAGCAGTTTATGGTTTGATTCTCCCTTCTAGGTCCCCTGTGTACATAGACACAACAGCCAATCCTACAGGATTGAAATCGTACAGTATGTATCATGCTTTTTCACACATTGTGAATGTCTACCAATTCAAAATTCCAAGCTATATGAATATTTTGATAATCAAGAATACACTATACCAACTCAGTCTGCTAGACAAAAATGTAATCCCAGCCAGGCTCGGTGGCTCAGCCTGTAATCCTGCGCCTTTGGGAGGCTGAGTTGAGTGGATTGCCTGAGCCCGTAGGTTTGAGACCCGCCTGGGCGGCGAGACCTAATCTCTACAATAAATCAAAAAATTAGCCAGGCGTGGTAGCGCGTGCCTGTAATTCCGGCTACTTGGAAGGCTGAGGCGGAAGGATCGCCGGCACCCAACAGGTCGAGGCTGCAGTGGCCGGGAGCGGCCACGGCACTTCAGTCTGGGCAACAGGGTGAGACTCCAACTCAAAAAAAAAAAAAAAAAATGTAATCCCAACTTTTTTGGGACAAAAGTTTCATAGAAGACAAAAATGGTAACAAATCTCTAAATAAAAGTACCAACAGAGATCTGATTAACATGTTACATTCCCTCAAGCCTCAATTTAAAATGAAACAAAAAGAAACAGAGTACACCAAGTATTATGTTTCTAAGATAATTCATTATCAAAACTATACCAATAAAACATTAGCAGGAAGGTAGGTTTCCACTGAATTACTTAATGTATTCCTAGAGTACAGTCAAAAGAGATGCAGATACACCAATGGCTAGTGTCAAAATATAAATCTGAACACATCTTCATACATCGCTCCCTTTATACTTCCTTCTGTCCCTCTGCTGCCAACCTAAAGAACAAGTTCTGATACACAGGGCTCAGAGGTGGTTTAGTAATCCCATGTCCAAGATGCATCTTTTCTATCAATTTTTTGTTTTTTCATAGGAGCGGTTGCATTTGGAAATTGAATTGTTAAATTGGATGTTTTGCAGCATATGCTGACTGCATATGCAGCCATCCATTCGCTGAGTGCATACGTTCACTGAGTGGTGGTTGTGGGGAGGAAGTATGCAGAGGGAAGTGTTCTGTGCCTGAGTGAGATTAGTTCTGATGGTCCTAACAATTGCTCTATGTGGGCATTCTAGTAAATATTGTCGTGTATTAAAGGACAAACAAGTCCCACTGCTCAAAAGTAGAGGTAGTAAAATAATCCATTTATAAACGTCCTCTTGTTAGTTTTTAGGAAGGACTGTCTTTTGGGGTGACCTTTATTAATCCACCTTTTGGAGGCAGATACAGTTCTGTACTTAGTCACTGGAATGGTAGAAGAGAGAAAAGAGAAAGGGTGAAGAGAAGGGCTCATTGCTAGTATCTCCATATCTCGAAGACAGTTACAGATTACAGCCGTAGGTCTATCTTCATGTGCATTTTAAGTAAAGTGCCTGTGTTTATTATGGACAAAGTTCATTATTTTGCAACATCTAAGCTTTATGGATGTGCTGAGGTGACACTGTATAATAAAGAGTAGAGTTAGTGATTTGGCCAATTTGTAAGAAATATATTTCAAAGCTCCCTTAAAAGTTCCCTTGGATTTCCCTTCCCAGGCTCAAGTTTAGAAAGTTTCATTGCTCTTCATTCTTTCTGCAATGGGAGTAGGTGAGGACTCACAGATTGGCTATAGCTCTCTATAAATGTCATCAATCTCTCCTTCCACCCACTCTGGCCTCATTTTATCCTTGATCTGGCCAAAGTACCTAAAAGTGAGTAGGGAGA